TAACCCTCTGCAATATGATTCCTCTCAATTTATGGTTCTCCCAGAGCCATTAATTCAGCCCAGGTCTTTTCTTCTTCTTTTTTTTTTTTTTTTTTTATTCTTTTATTCTTCCCCCCCCTCCCAACTTGAAGTCAAATAATTCATAAATTCTTCGCCCTGGATTGTGCTTTATGAGCATTATAATGATCACTTGACTGTGGAAATGCCTGTGAAGTTATTAAGGGAGTTTTAATACACCACAGACTCCCCAGAGGGGCAGAGCAACTCCATCACACTCTGGAGGGAAGAGCTCTCTTGTGAGGCTCTTTATTTAGCCAAACAATCAGGATTTTACAGCCCAGATATCTCTGAATCGAGTCAATCACAACCTCCGGGCTGGGTTTTGGTTTCTTGTGCTCCAGCATCCTCCTGGAGTGAGATGTGACTTAGACCCACAAGTCTCCACATCATTTTCAGACCCAAACCCAGAAAAAAAAAGACTAAAAAAAATTTAAAAAATGCTCAGAGGAGCATCAGCAAAACCTTTGGATGGTTGGGCTTGATGGTCTTGGGGATCTTTTCCAACCTTAACAGCTGGACTTGATGATTTTAAAGGTCTTTTCCAACCTGAATTTATGCCAAAAACATGAAGAAGAGCAGGTCACTGACCTCCTTGGAGTCTCCAGGTAGGAAGGAGGCATGGAAAGGTTGGATTTCCCTGGGCAGACACTGGTTTTTCTGTCGTCCTTGCTGTTGAAAGTCAGAAATTCAGTCCCAGGGGTGAAAGTCAGAACTGGAAACCTTTGGTTGATTACAGGGAAAGAGGGAAACATAACAATTAAATTACAAATAGGAACTCACAGAATCAAACAGATTTTCTGGGATGGCTGGGCCACACTCAGGGTATCCCATAAAAAAGGGGGCTTTGGATCTGGAATCTCCGGGTTCTGCGTTTCTCCTCCTCATTTTCTCCTGCAAACCAACCAACAAACCAACCAAGGCCCACAAACTGCAGAGCCAAACATCAGTGGGAGCACCTTTGGAATCCCTGAGAGGTGCTGTGGGATGACACCCCCCCCCCTACATCCCCCAAAACCCCCCCTGACCTCCCCCAGGACCACCCAGGAAGAGCTGCAAGAGGAGCCCCCGAGTCCTCCCTGCTGCTGAACCTCCTCTGCTCCCCAGGAAATCCGTGTTTTTCCCCTTGTAAAGAACTCCTCGGGCAACTGCCTCCGTATCTCCAAGGTGTCTTCGAGCCACAGAGGTGCAAATATTTATCCATACTTGGAATTGCAGAGTGAAGCCTGACTAAGTGTTCCCAGACACTCGAGCTGTTGTTGTTTTAAGACCTGGGCCCTTGGACACCTGGCTGGAATTAATCAGCAGATGGGAGCAGGGAGGCAGAGCAGAGCCCTCATTAACCCTTCACACATCAATGTCAAGGTCACAGGGGGGTTCAGCCTGGACCTGTCAACAGCCTGGGAATCCCAAAGCAAGGAATGTCCTTCCCGGAGCGGGGCATGAACTGGAAGCAGGATTTATCACGCTGCTGTCACCACCGAGCTGAGGCTCTGCCTTGGGAATAGCAGCAGGAGTAAATGTTTATGACTAGATAATAAAACACCAGAGCAAACCCACCTTCTGCCCAGGCTCTGCCTTAATCCAGGAGCTGAAGCATCTCCTGAAGGGAAAGGATCCACTTTGCACCGAGTGGCTTCGAGCGGAAAGTTTGGATTATTCGAGTAGTGGGTTATTAGGGAGAATTTCTTGGTTGGGTTGGATACCAGGAAAATTTCTTCACTGACAGGGTTGTCCAGCCCTGGCAGTGGGGAAGGGACAACCCTGGAAGTGTCCAATAAATGTGTGGATGTGGCATCTGGGGCCATGGATCAACAGCGGATCCGAGCTCAGATGGGATCACATCCACTACCCCTCACACCCTCTGAGCAGCTGCCCCAACCATCAGCTGCTGCCTCCCTCTCCAGCCAGGAGCTGGGAACGGAACAGAGACCCCAGGAGCTGAACACACCCCAGGGAAATGGAAAAACACAGCCAGGAACTTCCAAATTCTGCCTCCTGCAAAGCCGGTCCCAGCCAGGCAGGAGGGTGTGGATGCAGCCAAGCACCGGGATGATTTTCACCACAGCGACCTGGACACCAAACAACACCAAACAATCCCCTCCCCGAGCCCCCAGGGCAGCACAAACCCCCCACAAAAGCTCCTTGCCCGGCTCTGTTGATGTCTCTCCCCACGTTTTTCACACCCGGGGGAGTCAAACAGGCGATGGGGGAGGGAGGATTTGCTGCCGCCCACCAAGGGGGGGAAGTTTTGCTCTTGAGGAGATGTAAACAAGCCCTGGAGCAGGTCAGGCCCCCCGGTGGCCTCTTATCACGGCTCCTTTCTTTTGGCATAAACACCGGCCCCAGGTCAGGGCCCATAATTTGTCCCAGCTGCTTTTCCAAGGGTTGATCTAAAGGCTTCGAACCTGAAGTGTGGGGGGGTGAAATAATCCCCACCCGCTGCTTTGTCTCTCTCTTTGGGGTCAATTTTTGATCCCAAAACTTCTTCCCCCGGTACAGGGGTTGGGGAATGGTTCCTCCAGGAGGTTGGAGGTGGTTCCTCCATGGGAGGTGGCTGGGGAGGTTTGGGATGGATCTCAGGAAAAGGTTCTTCCTCCCCAGAGGCTGGTGGGGCACTGCCCAGGCTCCCCAGGGCAGTGGGCACGGCCCCAAGGCTGCCAGAGCTCCAGGAGGGTTTGGATGATCCCCTGAGGGACAGGGTGGGATTATTGGGGTGTCCTGGGGTTGGACTGGATGATCCTTGGGGTGTTCCTTCCAGCTCAGGGTGTTCTGTGGTTCTGTGAGTGGCTGGGAGGGAACCACGAGCCCTTGGCCTGTCAGGGAGTTTATCCCAAGCTCTCAGCCAAGGTCTCCCTGTCCCAGGATCCATCCCCAGCACAAACCGGTCTCACAAAGCCCAGTCCAACATTTCCAGTGTTTATCCAGGACTCAGGAGTGTCTCTGTCCCCAGGGACAGCAAGGCTTGCCCAGGCACTGGAGCAGTGACCGTGGCCGTGCCCTTGTTGAGCCTGAGCTGCCCAACCCTCATCCCAGCCCTCCCTGAGCCCCAGCAGAGGGAAATCCCGATCCACAGTTGTTGTTTTCCAACAGGAATGAGTCCAACCCAATCCCACATTTCAAAGGCTTACCACATCCCAGGATGGGTTGGGTTGGAAGGGACCTTAAAGCCCAGCCAGTCCCCCCTGTGCCACGGGCAGGACACTTTCCACCATCCCAGATTGCTCCAACCTGGCCTTGGGCACTTCCAGGGATTCCTTGAGGTGAATTCCTCGAGTCCTTCCTTCCTGGACTGCACAAACAGCTTTAGAAATAAAATTAAAAAATCAGGAAGAGGAAGGATTTTTTTCTCTTCAGGTCAGCCCAGACTGAAACCTTTCCCATTTGCCTCAGCAAACCAGGTTTTTTTTTCTTAAGTGGCGACAATGAAAACATCTTGTTCTCCCCAAAATAAAACGTGTCTCTGTTTGCAAATTCATCTTTGAAGGCACTTGTGGTCCCCTGCCTTTCCTAATTAAAGGCAGGCAGATCTCAATTGGGGAACACCACAGTGTAATAAAATTTGATTTCAAGCATATCTCAAACAGAGCCTGCAGCTTTTCAGCCCCAAAATACTCCTTTTGTTGTTGTTGTTTGGTTCAAGTTGTAAATAATTTCAAAGGCACCAAAATAACTTTTATTTTCCCTACAAACAAATGTTTCATCTTAATTTCAGCTCCCAGTGATCCGAGCCAGACTCTTCCCAGTGGTGCCCAGGAAGGGGATAAGAGGGAAGGGCAGGAGCTGAGATAGAGAAATTCCCTTTAAACAGAGGAGAAATTTTATATTTAATTTTTTTTTTTTTTTTATT